AGTGCTGCAATGAACATGGGTGTGCATATGACTGTTCTTGTCATGGCTCTCACTTCTTTAGGATATATACCTAGTAATGGGTCAAATGGTATTTCTAGTTCCAGCTTTTGAAGGAATCACCATACTGCTTTCCACAATGGTTTTACCATTATACAGTCCCACCAGCAGTGTATGAGAGCCCAATCTCTCCACATCCTCACCAGCATTTGTTATTTTCTGTCTCATTGAACTTTGCTATTAGTGCTGGAATTAGTGCTGGAACTGGTATCTCATTGTTTCCAATAAATAATTATCGAATTAATGAATTCTACAAAAACCTCACACATTTTATTGACTTGTATTGCCTGATCTAAGGTGATAAAAATGGGAGTCCAAAGTGGGGAACAAATATGAAAGAACCTATAAACACAATTAATAGATCTTGATTTTGTTTAAATAAGACTTGAAAGAGACTCAAATATAACATACAATTTCAATATGGGTGACTATAAGAATGATAGAATCATCAAAGAAATGTGAACATTCAAGTTTTGCAGTTTATTCATTATGTGCATTTGAGGTTATAGTGCAACATTCAGTGGCTAGGCACTTGGATGTGCAAGTTTGGCGCTGGGAAGAGCGATGGGAGAGAGATTGGGAACTGCACTGATGTAATAATGATTCCATTGGGATTGATAATTACTACAAGAGAAATAAACATAGAGAATCAGTGGGCTGAGATTTGCACTTCAGGATATATCCATTTTCAGCATGTGAAACAAGAAACAGATGTAGAATGAGTAGTCAAAGGAGCAAGAAAAGAACTAGGAAGCTTGAGTAAAGTGAAAGGTACAGATGAGAGGAGATGGAAAGAATGTACCCCAAAGGAGGTAATCCTAAGAGCCAAATGATGTAGAAAGTTCAAAGAAAAGGTTGACAGATAAAGACCAGTGATTTGACGATTAGGAGATTCTTTATGGCTTGCAAGCTTTCAGTAGAGTGGAGAAGGCAAGGGTCACATTTCAGAGAGTATAGGCAGCATGTGTGGTGGATCATTGGCGGCAATGAGTATAAACAAACATTGAAAAATTCAGCTATAAAAAGAAGGAGAAACAGAATGTTAACAGAAGGGTCCTCAGAAGTCTAGCTAAGGGATTTTTTTTTTTTTTCTTTTAAAATACTATTTATGCAGTGCTGGGGAGAGGGCAAGATTGATGATACATGGGCAAAGATGGACTTGGAGTGAATAACTGAGTTGAAAACAGAAGATTTGGGAAGGTACAGTGATTAGGAATACAGATGATTGTAGCATAATTAGCATTGAATTGAAAGTCAAGAGATCTATATTGTTTTGGCTTGGCTACTTGACAGTTGTGAGATCTTGGCAAAGGGGTTTTGTGCTTTCTTTTGTAAACTCAGTCTTCTCATGTTAAATCTGAAGTTTTTAATCTCAATTGTTTCAAAATTAATATCTATATTTTAAGTACTAAGGAGCTCTTGTGGTATAGTGCCTAAGGCATGTGACTGCTAACCAGAAGGCTGGCAGTTCAAACCCACCAGCCATGCCTTGAAAGGAAAGTTGGGCAATCTACTCCTATAGTGATACTGCCTCGGAAACCCAAGGGATGGTTTGCTATCAGTCAGTTCTGACTCAATGACAGTGAATTTAGTTTGGTTTTAGTTATTGTAAGTACTGTGATCCAGCAGTACACAAAAGTATATGAACCAGAGTAGATGTAGAAGCATATCATATATATGGTGTTTTGGTTACCTAGTGCCACTCTGACAGGAATATGCCACAAATGGAATGGCTTGAACAAACAAGAATTTATTCTTTTATAGTTTTGGAGGCTAGAAGTCTAAGTTCAAAGTGCCAGGCTCTAGGGACTGGGTGAAAGCTGCTCAACCCTGGGCTTTAGCTCTCCCTCCTGCTCTCAGTCCACTGAAGCTGGAGGCTTTTCTTCACTCAGGCAGTTGCTGGCTGCT